CAAAACCGCAAAACGCAAACTGCATTGGTGTGAAACAGGCCTGAAATACATTGAAAATGCATCAAAAATGCATGTGTTGTGTTTTTGATGCGTTTTGCATTTTTAATTTGCCCAGCAACAAGTTGGCCAAACAAAAAATTCAAAAAAAGTGGCAAACGCACTGCAAAACAAAGGAAACAAACTGCATTGGTGTGAAACAGGCCTTAAATGCAATGAAATCACGCCTGTAGTGAAGGAGCGGTACATCACTCCCTGAAAATGCATAAAAAGTGCATCTGTTGCAGTTTTTTTGTGCGTTGTGTTTTTTAATCTGCCAGGCAACAAGTAGGCCAAAAAAAATTCAAAAAAGCATGTGCAAAATGAACAAAACACAAACTGCATTGGTGTGAAACAGGCCTGCAATGCATTGAAATAGCATTAAAAATGCACATGTTGCGTTTTTGAGGCGGTTCATGTTTTTACTCTGCCAAGCAACAAGTTGGCAAAACAAACCCAAAAGGGTCAAAAACGCATGTGCAAAAACACAAAATGCACAGCCAATTAAACAAAACAAACTGCATTGGTGTAAAACAGGCCTCGAAATGCATTGAAAATGCATTAAAAAAAACGCACTTGTTGCATTTTTAATGCATTTTGTGTTTTTTATCTGCCCAGCAACAAGTTGCTAAAAAAATTCTTAAAAAATGTGCATGCAAAGAAAGCAAACTGCATTGGTGCGAAACAGGCCTGAAATGCATTGATAATGCATCAAAAATGCATGTGTTGCACTTCTGAGGCGTTTTTAATCTGCCAAGCAACAAGTTGGCCAAAAACCATTTCAAAAAGTTTCAAAACGCACTGCAAAACAAAAATAAACTGCATTGGTGTGAAATAGGCCTGAAATACATTGAAAACGCATCAAAACTGCATGTGTTGTATTTTTTTTATGCATTTTGTGCTCTTCATCTGCCCAGCAACAAGTTGATAAAATTTTTTTTAAAAGGATTACAAAAATGCTTAAAAAAGAAGCATACAAAAACACAAATTGTACTGCAAAACGCCTAAAATTTAAACTGCAGTGGTTTGAAATGGGCCCGAAATGCATTGAAAACGCATAAAAATTGCATGAGTTATATTTAAACCATTTTGCGTTTTTAATCTGCCAAGCAAAAAGTTGGCCAAAAAAGACAAAAAAGCATCAATCGCAAAACGCACTGCAAAAAGAACAAAACACAAACTGTATTGGTGTGAAACAGGCCTGAAATGCATTTGAAATCGCATCAAAACGCACGTGCTTTGCATTTTTGAGGCATTTCACATTTTAGTCTGCCAAGCAACAAGGTTGCCAAAAAAAATTTCAAGAAAAGTGTCAAATGTACGTGCAAAACGAACAAAACACAAACTGCATTGGTGTGAAACAGGCCTGAAATGCATTGAAAACACAAAAACCGTATGTGTTGCAGTTTTTATGCTTTTTTTATTTTCAATCTGCCCAGCAACATGTTAGCCAAATTTTTTTTTTCAAAAAGTCAAAAACGCATGTGCAAAAATGCAAAACGAACAAAACACAAACTGCACTGGTGTGAAATAGGCCTGAAATGCATTGAAAACGCATAAAAAAAATGCATGTTGCATTTTGTATGCATTTTGCATTTTTAATCTGGCAAGCAACAAGTTGGCCAAAACAAAAAATTCAAAAAGCGTCAAAAACGCACTGCAAAATGAACAAAACACAAACTGCATTGGTTTGAAATAGGCATGAAGTGCATCGAAACCGCATGTGTTGCATTTTTCATGCATTTTGTGTTTTTAATCCGCCCAGCAACAAGTAAAACACACTTCAAAATCACAGTGCAAAACGAACAAAAATGCAAACTGTTTTGCAGCCAGTAATGGATCCCTATACCGAGCAAAAAGAGCAATGTGTATGCCCCCTTTCTCTCCAATAACATGGCGCCGCTGTATACAAGCCATGAGACAAAAGGGGGAACATTGCTGGTAAATGCGGTCCACGACAAAATGGCGCCGGCGTACTGCACATGCGCCGATTGCTGGGAAAATGGCGGGCGCATACAGCGCGATTGCCATTTCAAAATATAAATGGGAGGGTAATGATGTCCTTGCTGTAAGCCCTGGACCCTTTTGAGAACGTGCACAGCACGAAACGCGTCAAGGGGGGCTACAGCACTTGGACATCTAAGCCACCTGTGGGTGGCCAGCACTTATATTGCAGTCAGTATTTTTTGTTTTGACTTTTACTTCAAAATAAAGTCTTTTATGCAGTGTCACGCTATGTGATGTCCTTTATTGGGCTCTTTATGAGCGCCACCTTTTCAGTACCAAACTTAAGGAGGGACCCTAAAAGCTGCATAAGTGTCTGAGGAACCAGGGAATTTGGCCATGTTGGACGTTTAGCGAGAGCGCAGTCTGACCTGTGATCCAAGGACCCAGATGTACCTGATGAGAGAGGAATTTGCTTTCATGCGTACCTTAAACGCACTTCTGGTGAGTGCGTATTTCACTTATTTCTTGTTCACCTGTGGATCACTCATCGTGGTTTGAAAAGGAGATACGACAGAATTTGTATATCACACTTTTTGTGTGGTTTTGGGACAATAAACTGAACCTTAATTATGATCTAATAAGATTATTAGTTGCACACTTTTTTCAATTCATGTTGATATAGCTTTATTGGCATTATTAGCGCTGCACCTTTTCTCTATATAAAAATGCAAACTGCATTGGTGTGAAACAGGCCTGAAATGGACTGAAAACGCATCAAAACCGCATGTGTTGTATTTTTTATGCATTTTGTGCTTTTCATCTGCCCAGCAACAAGTTGGTAAAAATTTTTTTAAAAGGATTTAAAAACGCACTGCAAAATTCATAAAATGCAAACTGCATTGGTGTGAAATAGGCCTGAAATGCAATGAAAATGCATACATAATGTATGTGTTGCATTTTGGAGGTGTTTTGAATTTTTAATTTGCCATGCAACAAGTTGGCCAAAAATGTTTTGTAAAAGCGTCAAACGCACATGCAAAGATGAAAAACGCACTGCAAAGGGAACAAAACACAAACTGCAGTGGTGTGAAACAGGCCTGAAATGCATAAAAAAAATGCACATGTTGCGGTTTTTTTTTTTTGGGGGGGGTTCACATTTTTTAATCTGCCAAGCAACTAGTTGGCAAGAAAAACCCAAAAGGGTCAAAAAATGCATGTGCAAAAATACAAAATGCACAACAAAACACAAACTGCATTGGTGTGAAAAAGGCCTGAAATGCATTGAAAATGCGTGTGTTGCATTTTTTATGCATTTTGTGCTTTTCATCTGCCCAACAAGATACTAAAAACATTTTTTTAAAGGATTAAAAACATGTTTCAAAAACGTGCATACAAAAACGCACTGCAAAACACCTGCAATGCAAACTCCATTGGTGTGAAACGGGCCTGAAATGCATTGAAAATGCATGTGTTGCGTTTTTGAGGCGTTTTGCAGTTTTAATCTGCCAAGCAACAAATTGGTCATACAAAAAGTTGTAAGAATTGCAAAAACACAACGCACTGCAAAACCAACAAAACATAAACTGCATTGGTGTGAAACAGGCCTGAAATGCATTGAAAGTGCATCAAGAACACGTGTTGCATTTTTTTTTATGCATTATGTACTTTTAATCTGCCCAGCAACAAGTTGTCCAAAAAATTTTTTTCAAAAAGTGTCAAAAGAGAAAAAAAAAGGACTCAAAATCCTTGAAAAATGTGTATGATAAAAAACACAAAAAGCACTACAAAATGCAGACTGCGTTGGTGTGAAACATGCGTTTTTGATGCATTTTTTTATGCATTTCAGGCCTGTGTTGCGTTTTTTATGCATTTTGCATTTTTAATCTGCCCAGCAACAAGTTAGCGTGAAAACAAAATGTAAAAAGCATCAAAAATACATGTGCAGAAACACAAAACGCACTGCAAAATGGACAAACCACAAATTACAATGGTGTGAAACAGGCCTGAGATGCATTGAAAATACATGACATTTTTTTTTTTTTTATGTGTTTTGTGTTTATCTGCCAAGCAACAAGTTGGCCAAAAAAAAAAAAAATTAAAAAAGCGTCAATATCGCAGGTGCATCCTGATAGGACAGGAACGGTCTCATTGTGGTCATGTGACCTCTCTCAGGCCCCAGTCACATCTAGCGATGCTGCAGTGTTGCATTTTTTGTGCGTTTTTGGAGGAGCGACATTCCTGTGACTGGGCTGTCCTCCACTGTAGACGTGTCATGGCTGACCTCCCTCTGATGGTCTCCTGGTCACACTCCTCCCTTTACCTGTCATCTTCCAGCTCCATCTTCCCTCTCCTAGGGATTGGCCAACAATAGACTGTAGAAGGGTTACAGATCTCTTCTCCACCAATAGGATCCTCTCTGGGATCTGATAATGGGCAGACATGGCCGGTGTCCCCGGGGTGGAGATGAACTCCTCGGGGTCACTGACCTGGAAGAAGAAGTTGATGTCAGAGCTCCGGAGGTGCAATCTTCTCCCGGCTCTGTGATCACAGAGTACGGAATCCTCAGGATCAGCATGACAGACAGGAGAGTATGATGGTGACAGTGAGAGGACGGCGATGGAGCCGCCAGACTTCTCTGGGTTCAGGTTTCCTCTCTACTAATGATGGGAGGATAGTATGAGAGGAGGAGCCCTGATCACACACCATGTACTCCCCTCTCCTCATCTCTATATAGAAGTCCGGTGTGGTCAGTCATCTCCGCAGGATTGGGATGAGCTTTGTATTCCCTGATCCTGAACTCTCCCTGAACTCTGTGTGCACTGACAGTATACACTCAGCATGACATCACCTTCCCTGGGTGGGGTGTCAGTCAGTGATCAGCACAGACTCCTCAGATCTCTCACTGTGTCCGATCATTTCTCTGTAGAATATTCTCACCTCTCAGTGTTGTACAATGGACTCCGCCCCCCTCATATCCCCTCCAATGACACCCACATCGCACATCACAAGGGAAAGCCATGGCTGGACACATGACACCCTCTGATCCCACCTCACATCTCCCTCTTCTCCTTACAGGGATCCATATCCTCCAGTACATGTACGGCTGTGAGCTGAGAGATGACGGCACCACTGCGGCGTTTAGGCAGCACGGATATGATGGGAGAGAATTCATGTATCAGGACACAAAGAACTGGATCTATATCCCAACCATGAATGAGGCTCAGATCACCACACAGAGATGGAACAGTCCGGAGGTCAGATCGGGGGAGAGAAACAAGAATTATCTGGAGAATATCTGTATTCCGGGACTGAAGAAATACGTTGATTTCGGGAGAGAAGATCTGGAGAGGAGAGGTGAGCGCACACCATATACATTGTACTGTATACACCCTCTGTGACATCTCTGTACTCTATATACATCCTATCTGTATACACAGTGACGACACACTACACCCACCCACTTCTGGGATAAGCCACACCCACTGACACCTTACACCACACCCACTCCTAATAACACCCAATACAGGACAGTCCTTTGCCCAGAAGTGGGTGGAGTTTAATAAAGTAGGTGTTGTCAAAATCGCGGCGTCAGACCCCAGACCTTCTCACCAAACTCGTGACCGAAGGACTAGCTGATCTAAAACCGCGATGTGACGTGCGTAACAATGCCACGCCCAGCTGCACCCTGCACAACGATTTTCCAGCTAATTGGACACAATCGATGTACCGGTAGCCTGGGAGCGATTGTTACTGGGTCAGGTTAATTATGCAATTAACCCTTCACACTGCCACCACCTCCTTTTTGATCAGAGAAAGAGGAAACTCAGCAATACGCTAGGATGATCGGTTAACCATCAGTATCCCGCTATCTCACAGACCGGTTATATAGAGAGGGTTAAATACTCATAGTAGCGTCTCTTTAAAGGCAGGGATTTGTAAATTACATTCAGGAGCTATAGAAACAGTTCAACACTTTTAGAAAGTAAGATTTATTACTAAAAGGTCAAAAGGGTGCAGTAGAAATATTTACAGAGAAAGAAGATGTAACCTAGATATATATATAAATATACAGAGCAATACAGCACAGCCAACAGATAACAGAACGAAGTTTAGGTAGGTAAGTACTTGCCAAATAAATGCCTGGGGTTAAGCAGCTTCAGGTTCCATGAGCGCCAGGTAGATTTGTTCATTGTCTCCACAGCCAATTCCGTTGACTCACAGCAGGAGACTTTGATTTCTGTCTGCAGATCTTGTAACGCAGACCATTTCCTCTCTCCAACTAACTCAAGAAGAAAGACAGCTCTCTTTATCTAAGACAATCTCCCTGGAATGTTCCTATCACAGCCAAACCAATACCTTGTTTGGCAAAAGGGGTTATCAGGCAGGCTCAGCATCATATGCTGCTTGCATTCCTGAGGGAGGGGGAAAATCGAAGAGAGAGAGACTGATTTGGAGTTTGAGAAAAATACCAAAATGCAGAGGTTTAGGAGCAAAATTAAGGACCGCGCCTCTCTGTGTGCATGATTGTGACAGGTGTGGCTTCCCATCCCACCAATAGGGACTCCTCATTCCTGACAATGCGGCCGGGTCTGTCAGTGATGATCTGTCCATCCCAGTGTGTGTCCATTCATGTCCTCCAGTCTGTAGATGTGGGGATCTGTCCGGTCACATGGGTGAGTATTGGGGTGATGTCAGGAATAATGACTCCTTCAGGATCTCGGGGTTCTCCTCAGAGATCAGTCCCCTCTGTACTCCTTCTCTTCCTGTAACTGCTTCCATCGCACATGTCACACCGAGTCTGTGTTCATCCACACAGTATGAGCCGCTCCCTGCACCCCCATACTGGAGGGTTATGGGGGATTTCTGCAGAACAGGTCATAGGAGACGAGGAACCGAGAAACTCCAACACGGAGTGTATCAGACAACCGAAATCTGTGCAGATCTACACACCGTACAATGCAGAACAATCCGAAATACAGAAGAATGTCAGAGAAGAGTTCACTCCGCCCAACACTCAGCTGGGGTCCAATGTAATCTATCCATCAATGGCTCCGCCCTAGGAGGAGGAGTCAGACTAAGCCCCTGCTTCACTCTAGTGGGACATGAAAGTGGCAGCGACTTCCAGCGTGACTTTGCAACAAGCTGGCCAAACAAAACATTTTAAAAAGTGTCAAAAACGCCCTGCAATACGGACAAAACACAAACTGCATTGGTGTGAAACAGGCCTGACATGCATTGAAATCACATAAAAAATGCACGTGTTGTGTTTTTATTGTCCTATGCATTTTTAATCTGCCCAGCAACAAGTTGGCCGGAAAAAAAGAAATCAATCAAAAAACGCAAAAAGCACTCAAAGTGACAAAACGCAAACTGCATTAGTGTGAAACGGGCCTGAATTGTATTGAAAATGTATTAAAAATGCATATGTTGCGTTTTTAAGGTGTTTTGCGGTTTTACTCTACTAAGCAACAAGTTTGCAAAAGAAATCAATTAAGCGTCAGAAACGCAATGCAAAACGAACAAAACACAAACTGTATTGGTGTGAAACAGGCCTGAAATTAATTGAAAATGCATCAGAAATGCACAAGTTGCATTTTTTCATGCATTTTGTGTTTTAATCGGCCCAGCAACAAGTTGCTAAAAAAAGATTCAAAAACGTACATGCAAAAACACAAAACACAAAGAATGCAAACTGCACTGGTGTGAAACAGGCCTGAAATGCACTGAAAATGCATCAAAAATATATGTGTTGCGTTTTTTGATGCATTTTGCATTTTTAATCTGCCAAGCGACAAATTGGCCAAACAAAAAATTCAAAAAAGCATCAAAAACGCACGTGCAAAGCGCAGTGTAAAAGAACAAAACAAACTGCACTGGTGTGAAACAGGCCTGAAATGCATTGAAAATACATAAAGAAATATACGAGTTGCATTTTTTTTTATGCATTTTGTGTTTTTAATCTGCCCAGCAACAAGTTGCTAATAATAAAAAAAAAAAAATTCAAAAACGTGCATGCAAAAAACACAAAACGCACTGGAACATGCAAAGGTTGCAAACTGCATTGGTGTGACAGGCAGTACAACTTCCCAGCAACCAGGTGCTCAGTGGGACTTTAAAGCGACTTTCCTGATGACATTCTTATGTGATTTGATGGATCGATGTTTTTTTTTTTTCCAGCCTTCACCTCTCCTTGGTCATCCTTGCTGCCTAAAAACTTTCACCCCCGTACATTCCATTCACACCTGAGTGTAGCGGAACTGCGTGGACCCGTTCGCTTTTTTTTGTGCATTTTTCAAACAAACAGCAGTTGCACACAGGGCATTGGTTCCCTACACTCGACAAATGTCCCAAAGTATTTCTAGAACGTTTTCAGTCGTGGAGTGTCATGTTTTTTCAGTACACATTTGCTAATCGTGATCGGGGGAGGGGGGGTCATTAACAATTAGTCTGAATTGACATCTGCATGTTTCTGAATGCACAGCAACCCGCACAGAAAACGTGTTTCAGAAATGCGCTGCAAACACGCATCACACTCGTGTCACCATAATGGCAAGGCAAGTGCAATGCACATCTCTGAAACATGTGGCACACGGTTTTTTTGGAGCAGTTTGTCATACTTTTGAAAATGAATGTGTTTTCAGAACGCATGGAGAATCGTATTTATTTATTTCAGGTACTTATACAGCGCCATCAATTTACGCAGCACTTTACATATATATTGTACATTCACATCAGTCCCTAACCCTCAAGGGGTGTACAGTCTAAGGTCCCTAACTCACATTCATACATACACATACTAGGGACAATTTAGACTGGAGCCAATTAACCTACCAGCATGTCTTTGGTGTATTGGTGGAAACCGGAGCACCTGGAGGAAACCCACGCAGGCACAGGGAGAACATGCAAACTCCATGCAGGAGGTGCCATGGTCGGGAATCACTAAGCCACTGTGCCGCCCTTGCAGGTTGCCATGTGTTTGGAAATGCAGAGATGCAAATGAATAGTACTGCAAGCACAACGCTCATTGTAGCGCATTCAGAAACCTGCAAATGAGAACACAGCCGTAATGGTTTTGCAAGCATGATGCACATTGCCACGCATTTCATAACGCACAGCAAGGTGTACATATCTTTGCAGGTTGCCATGCATTCCAAATTGCACAAATGTGAATGAATAGTCATTTGCATTGCAGGCCGTTTTTCAAGGTGCGCTGGAAAGTGTGCGTTTTGTTGCTGTGAGTTCAGAAATGCGTAGATGTGAGCAAATGGTAATGCAAGCGCAACGTTCATTGGGGCATGTGTTCCAAACACAAAGCACGCCTTTTCTTGTGGGTTGCCATGCAATCAGAAACACAAAGATGGGAACAAATGGTAAGGTGCATCGCCGTGCTTCATGCGTTTTGTTGCTGTGCGATCAGAAGCGAGCCGATGCAAATGAATGGTAACACAAGCACACTGCGCGTTGTGGGCTCGGAAACACGCAGATGCAAATAAATGGTGACACAAGCATGATGTGCGTTGCGTGTTTTTAAAAAGCTCGAAAAAGTGAGCATTTTTTGTGAAGTTTGTCGTAAAACACAGATGAGAATGCAATCTAAATGGTAACTCAAGTGTGACGCACATTGACATGCGTTTTTGAAACATACAGCAAAGTGCCTAGTTTTTTGTGTGCAGGTTGCCGCGCCTTCAGAAACGTGCAGATGAGAACGCAGTCTAGACGGCATCATGAGTACAATGCAATTGAATGGTAAGGCAAGTGCCACATGCATTGCTGCATGTATTGAAAGGCGGGGCAAAGCGTTGCCGTGTGTTTGGAGATACACAGAGATGCAAACGAATGGTAACACAAGTGTGACTTGCATTGCCGGGCATTTTTAAAATGCAAAACATACTTTTTCCTGCAGGTTGCCATGCATTCAGAAATGCGCAGATGCAAACGAATGGTAGCGTGCATAACTTGTGTTGCCATGCCTTTTCAAAACGCATGACAAAGTGTGCGTTTTGTTGCTGGTTGCCGTGTGTTTGAAATGCACAGATGTACAGGAATGGTAATGCAAGCGAGACGCATCACCGCATGTTTTAAAAGGCAAAGAGTGCATTTTACTTGCAGATTCCATGTATTCAGAAACACACAGATGTGACCGAATGGTAAGGCAATCGCTCCGCATGTTAATGCACGTTTTTACAATGCACGGCAAAGTGTGCATTTTAAACACGCACATTGCCGCACATTTTTCTTGTGGGTTGCAGTGCGTTCGTAAACGTGCAGATGCAAATGAATGGTGACGCAAGCACAACGCACATTTCAGCACATTTTAAACCGCATAGCAAAGCGTGCGTTTTGTTGGCTGTCCT